CAGACTTAGACGAACGCCGCCAAGCAAGGTTTGTGGCTCGATGAAGTATCACGGTTTTCTTGTTTAGATATCATTTGTGCCGAGGCTGAGATGGTGTAGTGGCAAGTGGCACGCTTCACGCACGCATGGTCACGGGTTCGAATCCCGGATCGATATTCGCCGAGGACAACCAAGCCTTCTGTCCCTCCGGGGTCCGTGAATTGGTATCAGGCCCGTCTGGGAGGGTAAAAACACTGACTTGTACATCGGCTGGATACCGCAAGCCATTTTATAGGCCAGATACACATTCGATAGGACACTACGATACATTGAATAGAAAAGGAATGCGAGGACCATCCCTCAGGTGTGGTTGATTAAGTCCCCAAAACTTTATCCACTATCCTTTTATCAACTGTGAGAAAACGTGTGCGACCGCCAATAATCTGGAACCCAATTCATGATATCTGTAGAGAATAAAGTTCCGCTGATAACGACAAAAGGTAATGGGCGTTATTACCACTCGACAACACTTGTGAATACCTTTCATGGCTTGGTTTGCCTAACAGTTGAATCTCTGATAAGTGATCACTTTCAAGATGAAAAGCAACAGATCGAGTCGTCTTATCAGTAATGTGACTGATTAGCTATTGTTAATGGGAGGTACAATCTGTATGCTGTAACCCAAATCGTTCCCACTCACGAGTGCCTATTCAACTGAAATGACTTGGATTGCACACAGCGAGGAACGGCGTGCCAAATTCAGTATTCGGCCTGTGGCGGAATATATATGGGTGAAACGGGAAGGATGTTAGGCATACGTGTCAAATACATAATATCTCATAGGTAAAAGACGTAGAAGCCTCTCCACGCAATTTAGGAAGCATCAACTGGAAGAAGGCAATGCTCTTGATACTAAATGCAAAATCCCAGCCTACGAGAACGAGATCGGTTTAAGAAAAACCTTGGAATCGTTGCATATCCGCGAGAGAAATCTCGAGTTGAACAACCGAAATGAGTGCATTGTCATAACAGGCGAAATTCTGCCATACAATCCTCCCTATACGCTCTGAGAACACTGCGCAACTCTTATCCAACGACCGTCAATGGTGTCTCATTGATCCCTCGTTGGTCACAGAATCGAGTGGGACGGCAACGTTGGTGGAACTGCAGAAGGTTGGTTTCTCGGGTATTCTGAAAAATGCTCCTTCTCTCTCCCATTATCTTGAAGTGTTAATAACAGGAGTTGCTCATCAGCCGACAGATATGATCAAAAGCTTACCACCATATTATCACCATTCTTGATAAAAGTGGGAGTAGTAACCTAGTGGAAAAGGTGACAGCTGTGAGAACGCTTACCATGATCTATTCGACTGCGGCTTCTACACATTCTGATTCGTGCGAGATTCTGACCAGGAAGTGACTTCAAAGGTTTCTTTCATATGTATTAGAAACAGCGGAAAAGTTTATTTGCCAAGAAGAGACAAGATGATAGCATGAATGGATGGAACTGCTTATCATAATCTGTGCTCCTGATTTCTTAGATCTTGATAAGATTTTCTTATTCATTTCTTTCTACTTCTTTCCAGAAGTGTTATAAGACTCAGCCCCATAGTCGGAATCTTCGGATAACTAGACCAATTTACCAAATACCATTTTCACAAAAGTTCACTACTGACATATCTTATCCAGTCGGATCGCCCGGCTAACGCCTATTTCTTATGGCAAAGTTGTGATAATCGGCTAACCCGCCACTTCCTCTTTAGAATGAATTATACTTTTCTGAACGCGAGATTCGAGACAGGACTAACAGGGCAGGATCGCATTCACAGGGGCTCGCCGGCGCGTGTTGCAAGAGCGGCTCTCGGCCATTTGCCAAATACTTCTCGATGTCAGATACCAGGTGGTAGATAGTCCTCGACTAAACTTTTTGCACTTCTGTTTGCTTAAGTAATACATGTGTAAAACTTTATTCTGAGTTCTGAGTGTCTAACTGCTACACTTTGAAATTTTGTTGAAGTTTTGTTGACGGGGTTATGAGGTTTACTCGCTTAGGAGTTTGTTCATAGTCCTAAGCTCTTCACTCATATAGACACCCCCAGCAGTCGAGTGCTCTCTTGGTAGGGCGTAGTTGTTCTACTTCGTTTTACCCCCACGCCGTGAGGAGCATTTTTAAACCCTGGTATAGGAGGAAGAACCGATAGAGCTTTGACGGTATAGGTTGACCGTCATTAGCTTAACTCATTAGATGTCTGAATCGATCCTAATGGGGAAAGGAAGTCTTCATCGCATGTGGACCTATTGGAGTTGGAAGGAAGAAATGAAAAACGGCATGTTCATCTCTCTCAAAGCAATAGGTATGGCATTATGGGTTGGTACACTGGCTGTCGAAGAGATCTGAGTGTACCACATACATAGATGGCTTCTTTGTTGCCTTTTGGAATGTTGTAATTGTTCCCTCAGAACAACGAAAGTTAGTCATTTTGCGGCTTCTGCTGAAACTGCTGCTCTCTTTCCTTTCAGATCTAATTTTACGACTCTTTACAGAGTGGCTCATCAACTGAACCTGTAGGCCCTCTGCTTTCCTAGCCTTATCGTAAAGAGATTTATTAAGCCGGTCATATTCCTCATCGATGTTGTCGATAACGGAATAAACTCTCAAAGGAACTGATCCCAGTGTATAGGGGTCTTAGGAATTCGTTTGCTGACTTTGCCGCCCTCTCTCCTCTCTGGGCAACGAAACTAGCGCGGAGGGGCCGATCGCTCGGCCCCATCTATAAGTCGGGACAACAGAGAAGTCAGTCGAGCAAATTTTTTCATTTAAGATGATGTGATCATTCCCCTGTGGAATTGTCTTCTATGTAGCCCCCACCTCCTTCGAAAATGGGTGGGTTTCTCAATTGCCATGATGTGGGTCGATACGATAAGCTCAGACGGCCTTTCAACCTACTCACTCCATTCCTTTCCATGAGTCCCGATGAAACTCAGCCTTTTTTCGAAGTCAATCTTGATCGCCCGACAGAGCCCATGGAAATAGGATTTCGTCTGTAGAGCTTCTTCTGGACTCCATAAAATCTCTTCTTTGAAGTATGATGTTGCTGGGGTTGAGCCTCCAAACTTGAAAATGACCATGCTATGGCAAGGGTTGAACAGCTTTTTTTTTNAGGAAGAAATGAAAAACGGCATGTTCATCTCTCTCAAAACAATAGGTATGGCATTATGGGTTGGTACACTGGCTGTAGAAGAGATCNGATGATGTGATCATTCCCCTGTGGAATTGTCTTCTATGTAGCCCCCACCTCCTTCGAAAATGGGTGGGTTTCTCAATTGCCATGATGTGGGTCGATACGATAAGCTCAGACGGCCTTTCAACCTACTCACTCCATTCCTTTCCATGAGTCCCGATGAAACTCAGCCTTTTTTCGAAGTCAATCTTGATCGCCCGACAGAGCCCATGGAAATAGGATTTCGTCTGTAGAGCTTCTTCTGGACTCCATAAAATCTCTTCTTTGAAGTATGATGTTGCTGGGGTTGAGCCTCCAATCTTGAAAATGACGTACAGCGGGCCATGCTATGGCAAGGGTTGAACAGCTTTTTTTTTATCCAACGATGCCGGATTGCGGTCTCCCTCTTAGTCAAGGGAACGACTTGATTCATATAACTAGTTTTGGCATGTGGGTACTCACGAGTAGCTTGCCTGGCTCTCAAGTGAGAGCTATGTAGGCTCCGGGTACCCTGTTCGGGCAATAGTCTTTAGAAATACATTATAGTTGTCGTGTTTTCGGGTGATTAATTCATCTTTTTTTCACGCGTCTATTCATCTATCCATTCTGTCGGTTCACATGTATGAGAGGCTCAAAGTAGCCATTTACTGTCTGGCTACCATCAACACGTTGAATAGCTACGTAAATGTTGAAAATCAGTCTATTCAATAATTTGTTATACACAGTTAGTGAGGGCTGAGCAGGAGCCTTGTCCTCGTGCTAAAGGTACTCCGCTCGAGTCTAGTTACCTGTGCTTCGCGAAGTTGGTAAACTTGTGTTAATCTTCGTAGTCAACAAGGACCACAGGATTATTGTCAACTTCCTATCTAGCATTGAATGTTAGGTATATCGATAGAGCTTGGAATGCTGTTCACGCTTTGAATGTTGTTCATGAGTATTAGGTTCTCTATAGAATGAGTTTTCCGAAGAATGTAAGAGCTCTCAAATTCACCGAGTGATAGTTCCATAGGTGATGTGCAGTCGAAGCGTGAACGTGGTGTAGAGGTAGAGCTCCCTCTCTCTATGCAGGCGAAAATTGAGGGTTTGACGTCAACGGAATTTTTTACAGTATCATTTCATTTTATCTCATGCCTTTTTGGCATTTTCCTTTCTTATAACGTTCCTGTTCATTGTGTTGTGCCCCTTTTGTGTGCTTTACTTGGTGGAATGCTCGCGGTTCACGGTAAGCTGAGATGATGAATACTCAGACAATTTTTCCTTCNTTTGCTCACAGTTCTACAGAAGAAGCATGTACAAGATGCATAGTTTATGAACAGCATTTCGCTACTCACATTGTTTTCTCAAAAAAAAAATGGGCTGATCAAATGTTTTTCATAAAGTTCGCATTTTGTACATGCCGCTGGGCGGTATAATTTGTCATTCTGTCGGAGTAGTGCGATAAGTCTAGGTGATAGCTGGACTAAGGTGCTCACCTGAATGGATGCCAGAAAAAGTTGTGAAAACACCCAGTAGAAGAAAGAAACACATTGTGAAAATATCAATTTTGTCAGGGAGCAGATTTCTATCGTCTCCTCAAGAGACCATCAGGAACCGAGGGGAGGTCCGTAGCAGGACACGTAGCTTGTTGATAATGTCCCAAAAAACAACACTTGTTTTGGTTCGTTGAACCCACTCTGCCATCTGCATTTCCTGTACTCAATGCATTCCTCTATCAAAAAAACATCAACTTTTCAAAAACATTTTTATTTCTTGTTTACAAAGTTTGGAGCAAACAGAACTTATAGGTTAAGAGCGAATAAATTATGCGGAAGGAGCAGCTACGGTGGTGGTCTCAGCTGCTTTGGTGGTTGTAGTGGCGGCAGCCTTCTTAGCGGCTTTTGCCTTACGAGCCTTGCGGGCCTTTCGGGCCTTGCGGGCCTTGCGGGCCTTGCGAAGCTTACGGACCTTGCGGGCCTTGCGGATCTTGCGGAGCTTGCGTGCCTTGCGTGCTCGGGCTCTGTGGGCTCTCAGAGCATGTCGTCGGCGTTTGGCTTGGCTACGGCGAAGGCCTTTAGTGAAGCGTCTTCTGACAGCTGCACGACGACGAGCCGCTCGCTTCTGGTTGCGTCTGTGACGGAGGCGATGAGCGCGGCGCTTGCGACCGAGGCGCTTGTTACGTCTGGTCTTGACTCCATGAGCCTGGAATTATTGAGTTGTTTTTGGATTGAAAAGATTCAGAAGTTAGATTTTTTTCAACGTCACAATGATGCCAAAAACTCACCTTGGCCTTAGTTTTGGTAGGTTTCGGTGCTAGCAGGCCAAAGAGATCAACTCCTCGCTTGCTTCGTTCCAATGCTGATCCTTCTTCGGCGATAGTCTGCAAAGCGATAGAATTGGGACCAACAATTGTCAAAACATTTCAGATTATCTACTGGTGCCCTCTAATCAATTCAAATCTAGCAGCTAACCAGGTCCTTGTCGTCATCGGCTTGCAACTCTGTTATGGATGCGTCTTCGTTGTTCTCCACCTTAAAAAAACTTCTGGTTTGAATGAGGAAGAAATACACAATATTCCCAGTGCTGAGCTACGCTATGTGGTGGCCAAGCGGAGTTGGAAATACGGTGTCCACATTATTTCGAGCATGGGTATGGTATGCCCTTCCATTATCACGTTCAGTTTGCTCCGTATTCCAATTCCCGTACTAACTACATTTATGGATCTCGAATAAGCTTGCCTGAACTTCAGCGGATTCCTTAGCAGCTACATACAGGACAAATAGTCCTAGTGTGACTAGGAGAAGCCGCATCTGAAATTTTCACTAAGAAGGTGGTTATTATTTGATGGCGAGAAGTTGGGAGCCGAAATATGGAATATAGGCAAGCAAATGTTATTAAGATGTAGTACTACTTGGAAAGAATAGTCATTAATAGGGTAAAAGACATGGTAGCCCACGTCGCAAAGCACAAAATGTTATGCTGAAACTAGAAGTTCTGCAGAACAACAAAATGAAGAAGCAGGTGAGTTCAAGGTTATTAAACGCACATCGCTAGAGATTGAAGTTCAATTAATTCAGGAACTTGACTTGCTGAAACCATCCGATAGTTGGGCCCTTCTTTTGGAAACTCTAGAATCGGGTTCGCTAAAGGTGGAGGATGTGGAATAAGCCGATAAAAGCCCGCTTTTATATATGGTTAGTCCGTGATCGCATCGCTGACATCCAGGTACGGGTTTTCGGCAAGCGGATCTTCATGGGCGGACGCCATACACGGCTTTGTGTTCTTAGCATTTTCAGTACAACGCGGGAGTCGGTTTCTCGGAGTGTATTTAAGATGTGACAAGGATGAGCGAGTGGTACCTTTACTAAAAGTTTGAGCGGTTCACTAGACCCTTCCTGCTCCCTGTACATAGCTCCCTTGCCTACTACCTGGACCTTTTCATCCATGCGCTAATCCTACCGTCTTTCGAGACGTCTTTGCATGCAACTACAACCACTTAGTCAAAACTCCTTCCAGTTGTTAAATTGAACTTCCTCTCACAGTTTTTGCCATCGTCAAGAAAACATCAAACGAGGAGCAAGACCCAATCCGTGTTCATAATGCTCGAATTGCTCGACAACAGTTCCTTATTTCATCAATCCGTCCGTACTTCAGATGCGACTTCCAATTCTGTACACAGCGGTTGTACTGGCTGTTCTAGTCGAGTTTTCGTTAGCCGCTAAGAAAGAGGTAAGATTCGCAATTAGATTTCGTATATCTTGATGGAAGGGAAAAATAGCGATAACTTATAAACGAGCCACCTAAACAGAAGGCCTATGAGATATCGTAGATCCACACGCGATATTACACTTTATCAGGTTCCCAACATTTGAAATGTTAAGATTTAGAAACTTCTTGAGCGTTAGTTGGTAAATGTGTGGTCCTTCGAAAAGATTCTTTCAAACACCCTAAGCACCGAACATATTACTGTAAATGGAAAAGCAATTGGATAGGTAAAGGTGACCAGTGTTTAGTGAGTGGACCAAAGACCAGTGAGTGACTCGACTGTCATGCCTCAGGTCCTCATGACTTGCAAAAATAAACTTCATGTTGCCTCCAAGACCCTAACAGTAGCAGGCATCCTACATTTAGGTGCGCACAGTATGGAAACGGGTGTTATCATTCATTCCCCCATAATTGAGTTGAAATTCGCTCCGCTTTTTCATTTCGGATACTTCAACGATGAATAAGTTACTAAAGAATGTCTTGCAGCCAAAACTCACGGAAGATTCGAATGTTGTACTTGCCAAGATCAAATCCCTAAGGGAGAAAGCGAAGCAAGAGTTGCAAAGCATAGCCGACAAAGAAGAGCGTCAACTCGTAAGTATAGTTTTGGATTATTCCTGTCATGGTACTCATAGGATAAGCTACGATTTTTCTGTTTTTAGGTGGAAACGATCATTATCGAAGAACAAGTTAAGGCTTTCAAAGCTAGCCTTCGCCCAAAACGAGATTCTACTCGAGTCAAAGCTACCTCTAAGGTGTGTTACTTGATTTTGCCGAAATGTCAGCATTCTATAGATAATCACAGATCACTACAAAAATTTTTAGGCCAGGAAGGCACGAAAACTTCGTCGAGCTAGGAAAGTTCGTAACGCCGCCAAGCGCCAAGCTAAGCGGCGTGCATTCAACAAGCGTCAAGCCAGAATCCGTCGTGCTAGAGCTCAGACTCGTGCCCGTTTGCTCAGACGCATCCAGCGTGCCAAACGGTTGCGACTGCGATCTCAACGTCGTGCCGCTGAGGCCAAGAAAGCCGACAGACTCAAGAAGGAATGATTCGCAACTTACAATTCTCTCCTTTTCCAATGAGACCTCAGCTTTATACATGAAACAGCAATAAACTATATTTATTCGTAAAGTTTGATGAATACAGGGAAGTGATGATTGTCAGAGAAGGGTTACAGTCGTCCGAAATTTTACATAATAATACAGTGCACTACTTCGTAGCTCTAGGCTTCCATAATGCTCACTAATGTTTGCAGGTATTCAAACATGGTAGTAAAACCCTCTCACTATGATATAACTTTGGACATTTCGGAAGAGATATTCCATACCGTCAGTGAATTCAGACTTCAATATATTTTATGTTTCTTCATGGTAAAATGAGATACTTCAACAGCAAAACCGTTGAAAATATGAAAAGTGATTCTGTGCGTTGCGATGACGTATGGCTAAAATGCTGTGCTGAATCGTGACTAGTACAATTGCTGTAACAATTAGAGTACTGTCATCTCATCTTAACAATTGCCGAAAGCAGGAGACCTCGCATAAATATACAGTTGGCTGACCCATCAGGTTATTGTGCAGACCAAATACGAATTTGAATGTCATCAGTTGCGATGTCAAAAGCACAGAGTACTCCTTTGACAAGATAGATGAAATTCATTCACAACTTTATTTCCTCGTAGCCTGAGGCAGAATGGCGGGCCACTGCAGTAGTACCTGGTCGTACTCATTGATGTAAGCATTGATGGTCAGATGCTCTGGCCCAAATATTGGAGACTGTGACAAATTTCGCTGTGGTTACCACCTAAGACAAGGTTGGAGGGATGAAGAGCAACGCGTCTTAGAAAGGTTTTCAATTTCCTTGGACGTAACCATAAGCTAACAATTATAACAATGAGAGAATAACTTATGGTATGGAACGTATGGAACAACACGATAGAGTGATCCATAAATTTGAATTTTTCTGCCTCTTGGTAGTATTATTTCGAAACCCGAACACAAGGGCTTCGTAAAGAGTATTGGGCTATAATGGATCAGGCTACCACTCGACGGTGTTTATTATGATGTACTGCAAGGACAATCTGACCTATCTGAGCTGGGAACACATGCGCCGTATTCGATTGTACAAAAGATCCGCTTTTGGAGAAATTTCATTTGAAGACAAGCAAAGTTCTGGTCGAGTATCAGGAAGAAATACTTAGTTCATTGGGAGCTCCTCGTCTTCATCGTCTTCAGCGCTATGGTGACGGCTACAGTCTAATTGTAAGCTAGTCAGTTACAGAAAATAGCCTATGTAATGCTAGGATTGCTTCGAGATGATCATATAAATTTCTTTCCGCTCCACGATGAGGCACGCCTACACGTGAGCGAACCACATCAAGAAATATGGAGACAGTATGTGGTGAGGAAACGATTATGACATGGGAAGTCAACCGATACTGTTAGTATAGGTACTTTAACAAGTCGTAGGCAGCATGGCATGGTGCACGCGTTAGCGTGCATAGCCCAGCTGATAAAGGATGAATGACCACATATGTTCATATTCTGCAACGTTCGAATGCCTTTGACAGCTCACCGGGATGGTTTATACAGTCTGCTCCAACAGCCTCTAGGCACTTATTTCTGAATTGATGAATGTTTTTGAACAGAGTTATGAATCTTTGATCCTAGCACATCAGACCTCGGTGAGAAGCCAGCCCACCAATTAAAGATAGTTTGACCATACTTCTTTTAACTTTTTTCTTTGAAGATTTGTCAACATTTCTCCATCAGCCTCTATCCACTTTTTTCGCACCCTAGGACCTGTTTAAGCAGTATTATATCTTTTTCCAAAAGTATCTCCCATTCATATACTTGTCCCGCCCAGTATAGGAGTTCATGCCTTAAGTTCACTGATACCCAGGAAATACTAGAGATTGCTAACTACTTCCACTGTTTTAATAGGAACCACCCACTGGAGACGCTCCACCATCCCACGCAGTAGACCTCTTTAATTGTATTTGTTGACCCATCCTTCGCCTTTGCTTAGTTTTTCCCGACGTCGAGTTGTCATGAATTCGGATAGCTACCTTATAGGCTAGCTATGCAGTGCAGGTTGCAAGCTTGTGTTTGCTCTAAATATAATTATGATTCTCAGAAGATTTCAGAGTTGCAGACCACATTCCTCCACTGCTCCACAGTGTGCGACAGTATAAGATGCCAAGATATAGACAACAGGATTGATGGGATGCATAATACAAGCGTAAGCGCACGGGTGCAGCCCAAGAAATCGCAATAGACTGCTTCCGCGCAGCCATCTCTTCCGGTTTATAGCACGCACTCCTCTTAACGCAACAATTCATCAGGTTGTCCGTCGTCATAGCGCGAGACAGATGGTATCACAATTCGTCACTTTTCTCTAGCTAATCTGAGTGCGTCTACCCTTGCTAAGCACGGAAGCACCACCAGAGTTAACAGATTGCTGTCATAAGCCTACACACGAAGTGCTCGCCGTAAGAACTCGCAAATTCACGCGGATACCGCTAGCTCGAGTCTTTTCCGTTTTTCTCCATACGTCCGCTCAGATTACAGAGTTCCAGTAGATGAAGGTAACATTAAACTCAGCTCGTCGAGCTCTATGAGCTGATGTCTTGGAGTTGTGAAAATGCATCGTTTCAAGATGGGCCATGCACTCGAGTCATCACTTGAGTCATCCGAAAAGTAATTGCATGTGGATGGGGTGCACGCTTTGGTGCTTGTAAGAACTGATTGGTGTGGGAGAATAAAGTGTCCAAAATTTGCTCTGGAGTGCGTCATGTGCTCACAGTACAATGGGAAAATGATTGACTGCTTTTGTCTACTCTCCATCGTTTATCTCTAATGTGGAGTGGTAGATGACTTCATCTACAATCTCTGCACTCTTCACTCCTCCTTTCAGGCTCCATTCAGAATGTGACATCAATTCACGGCAAAATAATTGAGTCGATTTTTTTGATAATTTCCAATCTTTGGAGTTTTTCTCCGAAATCTGCGAAGAGGGCGTTGGAGCACTATATTGTCATGCGTTGAAGCACACTATTATCGTAGACAACTCTTTGTTCTCTGCAAGACTGTTATGATACACCTTATCATGGATCGAAATTCCTCCCTTGATAGGGCTCCAAACTTCGCTCATCGTCACCCCAAACCATGAGATCATGTTTTATCCCTTTCCATTGACCTTTTTGCAATTAACGTGTCCACTGTACACTGTTAGGTTCGCAGTAAAAGATGCTATCTAATGATTTGGGTCAAGCCGTGATGAAAACGTACCTTCATAACCATTTCCTGCCGTATGTCTGTTGCTGAGCGGTTTCCTGCTGGGCGTCAAATGTTAAAACAACACGGTTGTTGGCTTGGTTCCATTAGGATGGGTTAACACTACGCATGAAACTCTCTAGTGGATAAGTTTTTGGAAGTCATTTTCGTTTTCTGCCTCCGCTCATGAGCACTCTAGTTTCTTGTCTCAACTTCCAATAACTTTCTGTGGGTAACGCAAGGGTGAAGGTCTATGGTGATACAACGCACACCTTGCAGCAATCCAATGTGCATTGACGCGTCACATTAAGAACATCGAGGTTCCGGGCCTGTAAAACGTTTTCACGGAGTCCCGCGACCGTTCGTATAAGTTTATACACGCCATTATTTTAAAGCAGTTAGTCATGAAGTGCACAGTGTCCTACACTCCAGGATAGTCCATGTTCGACTTTCTTGCAATCTTGGCATAGTTACTAATAATTAAGTCAGAATGTTTTTTTTTCTTGAACCTCGCACGACCACCCTCGCACTACCTTTACCTAGAAAGAAAAAAAATCTCCCTCTGACCTCATCATAGATCAGAGTTCACAAAGGTCACGGAAGAACGCGAGTTAACGGGTCAACGGGAACTTTCCTTTCATTTGGGGGCTTTAGCAATCATCCAAAGCGCTTCCAGTGTCTTACGCGCCACGATCGCGGGTTCGAGAGCCAACATGGACACGAAAAGGTCAAAGACAAACCTGCGTGGTCAAAAACCGATGCACTCGTAAGGTGTGTTTTCGATCCAGCCCGCCCATTAGGATGTCCGTTGACCAGAACATACAAAGAGCGACCTGTTTCTCTTTCATACTCACATCCATAGCTCTGACAGCGTACAAAGTAGACCAATCCCGCCTTCATACAGTCACCCTCTCTCCCATAAGAGCATACCACACACTTGGTAGTGTCGCATACGGTGCCATAAAGTCGATTGCGAAGAAGAAGTCTTCCAAGACTCTTTGGAGTATTTCGGCATTTCTTACATCATCGTGAAGACCACAACGATGCACTATCAATCGTATCGATCTGCTCATTTCTTCGGAGATGGAAGGCAGACAAAAAGTCGTCTTGTCGAGTTCGTTTCTTTCATTGGATGTTACTGTAGAAAAAAACCTACGTCGTGTTGACCCTGAGCCTTGGTGGCCACTCAACAATTCAATGCTCTGCTCAAAAACTCCTTCTTCAGTTAAGCGACTCTGAATATGTTGCTCACCGCCGCCTGTTTGGTTTTCATAGGGTGAGCCGGTTGTGGGTGAACAACTATTTCTTCAGCTTGGCTTGTGGTACCATTTGGTCCTTGCTGTGCACCGTGTCACCTTAATATAGATATTCAAAAAGGGCAATCAATTCTCTACGTGCTTTCCCCGTGTGAATTTGACTCCATAGTCAGCGCAGGAGCTGATCGTTGCCCCATAGTTAGACCCCGTAACTGTTTATAGTACCCACCCGACCACTCAAATAAGGAGCACTCTAGCACTCTACCAAGAACATCATCACTTATCAACCGTGAAGGTGTATATCAGGTTCATGTTCACAAAGCAATGCGTATGTGGCCTTCAGCTTCAGCACTGCATCATTGGAAACATTAGTGTGAAGGGATGTGATGTTGTAAGATTCCATCACACAGCCTTTCTGGAGGTTCGCGCTGGGCAACTTATTGAGCAAAAGCTAGTGTTGGTCAAGTGGGCGGGTGTGTACCGAAGTAAGATAATATTGAGAAACCAAGATATTTCGTC